GAAATTTGATCGTTTTGAACTATTTCATTGTTTTCTCCGTAACGTATTAAAACCGATTTTATTATTGATGCGCTTTCATCAGTTGACAGTTAAATTACGTATTACCGCATGAATCAATAGGCAGTGAATCTGTGGTGATACGACCAGATTTAAGAATTATTGGACAGACTTTGGCAGGTGACGTGACTAAAGACTAAAATATATTTGATAATAAACTTACCTTGTTTCCTGTCATATTAAGTATCCATCGACACCTTTTATGCGAGGATAATATTTTTACTTCCCGAGCGTAAGCAAAGGAAGTATTCTAATCGAGTCCGTCGGCCTACTCTCTACTTTTACGTTTTCTCGATCTTTCATGACCCCTAGAGGACGAAGAAATAGGTCTCGCGTTTTCGTCTGTCTGCCCGTCTGTCCGTCCCTCCGTCCCTCCGTCCGTCCGTCCGTCCGTCCGTCCCGGATTTTTATTAGACAGATCATCTCCGAAAGTACTGGGCCAATTGTTGTCAAATTTTGTATTTATATAAGGAATAGCATGTAGATGGTAAAACGCTAACCAAAATTTGTCTAATCATTCCCACCACTAATGGGATGACGTCACTTCAAAATTGTACGTAGTAAATGGGTTTTAAATTGTATAAAATGATATAGTCCTACACATGTAGTTTACGACACCGAATTGAGTTTTTACCCGAAACGTCCAGATTTTTTGAAAAAAAATCAAAATTATAAACATTTTGCAATTTAATTTTGAATCTGCTAACCCGAATGCTTTGAAATGTTGCAGATGTTTTAAGGCTATAAAGGGCATCATAAATCTTTAGTCAAAATATATTTGGTTATCCCTTCCAAAAACTTGATGACGCCAGCTGAAAAGTTTGCCGAATAAATCCTATCTAAAATGTACAAAATATGCTGAGTCTGTACTTGTGATCTATCACTCTATTCATATTTTTTGGATTTGCATATACAGGGTGACTCAAAAAAATTAATGAATGCGTAAATTTATTTTACTGATTTACTCAGGAACTACAAAACCGAATGCTTTGATATCTTGAAGATGTTTTAAAGTTATCATAAGTATAGTAAATTTTTGATCAAAATGTATTTGGTCGTCCTCCATAAAAAATTTATGACGTCACCACAAAATTTTGCTGAATAAATCCTATCTAAAATGTACAAAATATGGTGAGTTTTTTCTTGTGATTTATCATTCCATTAAAATTTTTTTGATTTGTATATACAGGGTGATCAAAAAAATTAATGAATGCGTGAATTTATTTTATTGAATTAATCAGGAACTACAAAACCGATAGCTTTGAAATGTTGCAGATGTTTTAAGGTTATAGAGAGCATGATAAATGTTTAGTCAAAATATATTTACTTGTCCCTTCCAAAAAATTGATAACGTCACCACAAAAGTTTGCCAAATAAATCCTATCTAAAATGTACAAAATATGATGAGTCTGTACTTGTAATTTATCATTCCATTCACATTTTTTGAATTTGCATATACAGGGTGACTCAAAAAAAATTAATGAATGCGTAAATTTATTTTATTGATTTACTCAGGAACTACAAAACCGAATGTTTTCAAATCTACTGCAAAAAAAAAAAACATAATAGGCATGCAGTCGTCACGTTTTCGACAGCGAGGGAAGTACTGTCTTAACTTTTTAGACCATTTTTTTTTAATAAGCAATCATAGCAATCGCAAAAAAAATGACAAAGATGTCAATGCCAAATAATGACAAAATTGGAAAAATTAATACTTATTTTATGTTAAAATAATCCACTACAAAAATGTAATACTAAAAAAAAAAACATAATAGGCAGGCAGTCGTCACGTTTCCGACAGCGAGAGGTACTGTCTAAATTCTTTAGACCATTTTTTTTTATTCTTTATGACATTTCAGTGAAGCAAATTTTAAAATTTTGGTTGATTTTGTAAGATCAAAATAGATTAGGAATAGTATGTACACAAAGAAAGAGGATAGAGAAATTAAATAGTTTTCAAAAGTATGTATTTGTCAGTTTTGCAAAAAACATTACCGTAAAAAAGTAGAACAGATTATATGTACCAGTACGTAAATCATTCATAAACGATCATCTTGAAATTTGTTTATGGACTCGGTGGATCAACTAAGTTTAGTTCCTCACAATTTCTCACAATATATTCAGGGTAACTCAAAAAATTAATTAATGAAACAATTTAAATCAAGAACAACTTACTCCATTTTTCCGAAAATTTGGAAATAGAATACTATTATTATTAGTGTTACAGTGCATCTATCTAAATTGATGTATGTATGCTTGCAAAAATGTTGATGACGTCATCAGAAAATTTTGTAATCGAAAAACTACTTGAAATAAACGCGTAGCACGCTGCTTTACCTTTACTTTAACAATACATACATATCTTTATTTTAACTTATAAGGGTTATCATCAAAAAATAAAATTCGCAAAATCAAATCTTATAATTTTTCGAAAAATCTGGATTTATTACTACTTCAGGGGCAAGCCAAGTTCTGTCGACATAACCTTTTTTTTTTATAAACATCATAAAGTCATAAAGAGAACGGTAGGACAAGTTTCAAGTAGTAACGGAATGGCGTACTGCTATGATTACTATAGTTTATATGTATATCAAATATTTTAACGTGAGAGAGGCTTCAAAAATAGACAGATATTCAATGTTCGTGTCAAATCTGTGTGTGGACTATTGTCAAGTGGCTATCAAAATGGTAATAATCGTACTGTGTTTTCGACTGTTTTAATTGTAGTTCATATAATATGTTGTATTCTAACCAATATCGTGTATTAAGTATTAGCGGTACCTAATACTAATGCTAGGTGGCTAAAGGGAGGTAATAAAATCAAAAGTTATAAATTGAATCAAGACCATTCCTAGTCATATATTTCATATAGTTTTGCCAAAATAAAAAAACCACCACTTGTTGATTTCAGTTGCTAACCAAAAAAAACTCCAATGGTGATTTTCATAATATACCGTTGAAACTTCAGCAAACGTCAAACTTGTCATTATGAAATACGCAAGCACAAACAAATTAAGTCAACTATATTATTTTTCAAAATTTAAGCAAATTTCAAGGTCGACAACTTACCAGTGTAGTTAGCGGAGATCACAACCCTCGCAAAACTGTAGGGTCGCGGACGTTACAGTAAACAACACGTTTTGTTGTACATCTGTGTTGTACTCGTCTATAATATTGTAAACAAAAGAAAATGTAACTAAATAGTATGTTATATAACAGAAAACACAGAATTTACATTGCTTTTACTCTCATGTTTCAACACTGCTGCTGTACATAGCAAGGACTTTAGAGCCGTTTGCATTGAGGGCTTAATGCTGATTGTTGTTGACATTAAATGCCAAATGAAAAAGTGACAAGCTGACAAGTTATTAGAAAAACATTCTGATTCAGAATCAGAATCGAGAGAAATTATGATTGAGGGTATGTCTTCATATGGTGCATTACCCATTAAACGCTTCCAATCATCCCTGATCAGCCGTTCACAATGTCTAATAAAATTTTGCCATTTGTCTGCACCTACTGTAGCAAGAGCCTCCCGCCATAAGGACTGTACAACACCAATAGCACCACCGTGTTCCCGAATATGTTTATTGTAATATAGTTTACACTGTCCCCACGCCAGTTCAATTGGATTATACTGACAGTGGTAGGAATATTGAAAAATAGGTGGATAATTCCTCTTGCTCTCGTCACTGCCATACCATTTATCCTGGGCATATTTATAAATCTGTTCCTTTAGGATCTCTGCTGGGTGCTTTTAAGTTGTTCTTCTAACTTCCCCACTCCGTAGGAACATAATCTATCATAAATATTGCGATAGAACGCGCTCATACAAAACGATTCAAAATTAATGCGGTTCTTGACGTCTCAAGTGACAGATCAGTCACTATTGCATTGTCGATAAAGTAAAATAAGGAGGTGTAAAAAAATACTAAACTACACAGTTAAGAGTAAATTTTTGGGTTTTGCGTGTCCTTGACCTTCGCGTCCATTTTGAAAAATAATATATATTAACATTTGTAGAATTTGAGTTAATATCTCTCTTTAAAACGGTTTGAAACCTTTAACCCTTCCAAAATTTGCACTTAGTATAAATTAGTTACAACCTATGTGTGTTTTCCTCCCATGTCAAACTTCTGATTTAATACGACGGTATTGTCAGTTGTATTTTCACGGTAGAATCCAGTGTTGGTAGTTTTTAATTTTGACAATATCGGTATAGGACCTATTCGTAGTAAATGTTTCTTGCATCCTGTGACCTGTGAAATTTAAAAGTATTGTGGATTTGCTATTTCTTATAGTAGACATTTTTAAAGTTTTAATTAGTATGGTCAATGTATCATCTGCTAAAATAATTATGAGTTATGACATTTGATTTTTCGTTGCCGTCGTAATTATACCTTCGAAAGAGCCGGAACAAATTAATGTCCACTTGGATGCTAGAGTTAGTTACGAAAGTCATCTTGTACCACTGTAACTTTTATTGAAAATCTGCCGCAATATATTTTTTTTTAATTTCAATGTAGGTGACAATTTCAGGGTGATTTGAAAAAAACGATATTAAATGTTGCCATTGTTAGCATTCTGAGTGTCTGTTGGACTTTGCCAGTGATCAACACGGTGTTCTTTTATTGAATGGTCCCAGGACGGTAGTGAACGATGGCGTTTATCTAAAATGTGTCCGTTTTTTTTGGGAAAGTAAATGTTTAAAGACTACTGTGATTATTATTAATGTTTCTAATTATAACGATTATGTTTGGTTTTAAAATTTCAAAAAATCACTAGTTTCTTACCAGTAGGTAGGCTTGGTTTATAATTTTGTAACCATTATGGATAATGGGGTGAAACAAGTGATGGTATGGCGATGGTGAGCAGCGCGGGAGAGGCCTGGCGGCGCATACGTTGTGAGCTGTTGCCAATATTGATCTAAAGAGTTACCGCCGTCGCAGGACCAGTCGCAGGAGCGCGTCGGCCTAGTGTGTTCGCGTCATCACTGTTCCATCTTTCTTCGGCGTCTGAAACTTCCATAATGTTAGTTTGAGTGAAGTGCCCTATGTATTACTTTATTTGATGTGGATAATGAAAGACATTATTTTGTCTAATTCTAGGACCAACTTGTGTTGCTTTTTATAAGACGATTTACTTAAAAATCTTGCAAAATTTCGTCTCTGTGCTTAGAATATGGATAAATATTAGTGACGTACGACACCTGCAATCTAACGCGCACATCAGGGGATTAAACCATACTTTTAGCTCCACCAACGGTAACATTTTCAAGACAATTGATCTCTAGATTAGTCTCTAACTAGATAAATCATTTACCTAGCTGTCTTTACTGGTAATTATGATTATGAACATTTAAGTAGCGGTTGATATGGAACAAATTAGTACATATTTTTGTATCCTTTTATGTTAAAGTATCATAGCGACACCATGTCAAAACATAAACGTTGTAATATTATATTTAACTGAATTATAGCGATAACAACCTATATTCCATGAAATATTTATCGGTTTTTATGTTTGTTTTCATCGAAAGGACGTCATAAATATGCAATTAGAAATTTTTCATTACTTAATTTCTGTAATTCCATGGTGATTTTTAAGCAGATGACTATGAATTCCGATTTTAGTGTAGGTACATTCTACTATTTGCATAATTCGACAAAAAGACGGTAACATAAATACTGTTGAAAATAGTATGTTTTCTGAATGATGTATGAGAATAAAATTCGTTCTCTATTATCAAGGATTGACTGGTAATAATGTGGTACATTTAGTTTAAGACTAATATCTAACTTAAACATAATTTTTGGTTGTCTTAGTTTGGCACTCACTGAAAGTGTCGCACGTAGGCCTATATTTTTAAATTAATTTTGTATTTTCAAAGATTTTTTTTTTTTATAATATTTTTGCTTAGCAAAACTAATAAATTTTATGTCGCCAATATTTACCAAGCATGCTCTTAATGATTAACTTTTTATGTAGCAGTATTTGAAGATTTCTTTATATGTAGTTGGTTCCGAATATTTAGGCCACAACACACGTTTGAAAATGGAAACTTCCTACGCTCAATGATTCTTGAGTAATTACATTTTTAAGGGTTGCCAGTGACGCCATGGTGCCAATTTTATAGCAGCGAGTAGTTATTAGCCTATTCAGTGATCTCACAAACGTCAAACGGAGCTCCGGTCTTTGCGTAGTAAATTTTGATGTTATATTTTCCTAAAATTTGAGTGGATTGGATACGTAAGCAAAGTATATACCTTTTTTAGCCACATGCTATTTCACGGGCGACAAAATTTCAAAAATTCATTAAACAGCATCCCCTTTGTTGTAACAAATTTAGACTTTCTTCTCTTTCAAACCAAGACTTACCTGAAACGGTTTGGAACCATAATTCAAATTTTAAGCAACACTGAGGACTGTGGGTGGATGCGGAGATTTTGAACATACGGAACATATTCTAATGTTTTGTTTATGAAGTACTAGATAAATATACATCTTCATAAACAAATTTCTTGTACCTGGAAGGTCACTTAAGCTTTTGATACCCATTAAGAAACGTTTCGCTGTACAGATATTACTATTCCATGAAAATGTAGCGTTACGTTTGCAGGATCTGTTGCACGAGTTCACGACCTTTTAAATCTGTTGCATTCATGCAACAGTTATTAGGACATTTGGTTAATTAATTTTACTGCTAATGTTTTTTTTTTTTGTAAGATACAAGTGAAAAGTATATATATATAAATAGGGTGTTTAATTATATATTTCCTATTATTGGTAAATTTCAAAAACTGAAGAATATTATTGCAATCGATTCTTGAACGTTTTAAAAAATTGATTTTTGGAGATATTGCAGTAAATATTTGGAAATACATATTCACCCATTCTTTCTGAGTGTAAGTTGTATGTATAACTTTTGTCATCTTTCTTTTAGCATTGTAAGGTCAACAATATGGAACTGTTACGGGACGCGGGCCAACATCGTCTTTGTATTTAATTTTTACAACTACTGTTTTTCTCTGCAGTAGAAACAAAGTATGTTGGACTAAAGAGTGACTTGGAAATATAGTATTCTAGTATCAAACAGACTGAAATCCGTAGTGCAAAGTATGTAGAGCAGACAGCACTGTTACGTGATAATTTTTTTATAATTGTCTAAATAAGTGTGTTATCCTAAATAATGCGATAGTTATCATTTCTTCGTATCAGTCCTGTAGCAATTTCGTACCTATATTAGGAGTAATATCCAAGATTTTTACTTCCTGAACGTAAGCAAAGGAAGTATTGTAATCGAATCCGTCGGCCGACTCTCTACTTCTACGTTTTCTCGAACTTTCACGACCCCTAGAGTACGAAGAAATAGGTCTCCCGTTTCCGTCTCCCTGTCCGTCTGTCTGCCGTCCCGGATTTTTATTAGACAGATAATCTCCGATAGTACTGGGCCGATTATTGTCAAGTTTTGTATTTATATTAGGAATATCATGTAGATGGTAAAACGTTCACAAAATTTGCCTAATCATACCCACCAATAACGTGATGACGTCACTTCAAAATTGCACATAGTAAATGGGTTTTAAATTATATGAAATAACATAGTCCTACACATGTAGTTTACGACTCCGTATTGAGTTTTTACCCGAAACGTCCAGATTTTTGGAAAAAAAAATATAAAACAATATTTTGCAACTTAATTTTGAATGTGCAAAACCGAAAGCTTTGAAATCTTGCAGATGGTTTACAGTTATTATAAGCATGATAAACTTTTAAACAAAATATATTTACTTGACCCCTCCAAAAAATAGATGACGTCAGCTCAAAAGTTTGCCAAATAAATTCTATCAAAAATGTAGAAAATATGATGAGTCCGTACTTGTGATTTATCATTCCATTAATATTTTTTGGATTTGCATCTACAGGGTGACTCAAAAAAATTAATAAATGCGTGAATTTATGTTATTGATTATCACAAACTACAAAACCGAATGGTTTGATATCTTGGAGATGTTTTAAAGTTATCATAAACATGGTAAATTTTTGATCAAAATGTTTTGCTCATCCCCCCCTAATTGATGACGTCATCTCAATATATTGCTGAATAAATCCTATCTTAAATGTGCAAAATATGATGAGTTTATACTTGTGATTTATCACTGCATTAATATGTTTTAGATTTGGTTATACAGAGTGTCTAAAAAAAAATTAATGACTGAGTCAATGTATTTTATTCATTAAATCAAGAATTGCAAAACTGAATGCTTTGAAATGTTGCAAACCTTTTTGAGGTTGTCTGTCGAAACAACTTTCGACCAATTTTTTTTTAATGTGTTTGTGTAGTACTTTATTAATTTTTAACTAAAGGATGAATGTTATCTTTTCTAGTACGTGCTAGTTTATTTTAACAAAATGTTATATGGTTTGTTCCTACTTCCTGATAAGTAAACGTTTCATGATCTCTAGACTACGAAAAAATAGGCCTCCTGTTTCCGTCTGCCTCTTTGTCTGCCTGCCGTCTGTCAGGATTTTTATTAGATAGATAATCTCCTATAGACCACTCTACCGATTGTTGTCAAATTTTGGATGTGTATTAGGAATATCGTATAGGTAATAAAGCTCTCTAACCAAAATTTATTTGGATAGTCACCCCCCCCTCCCCCCCAACAATAAGATGACGTAATCTAAATATTGTTTATATTTTATAAAATGAGATACTTCTGCACCTAAAATAACATACTTGTGCATGTGTGATTTTATAATAATATTTACAGTTTAACAAACTGCAAAAACCGAGTGCTTGGAAATCTTGCAAATATTTTAAGGTTAGTGGAAGCATGGTAAATCGTTAATCAAAATTTGTACGTCATCTTACAATTTAGCAGAGTAAATTGTTGTTCAAATTGTTGTGTATCTTTGGGAAAAGTGTGGTTATTTAGTTAAGCAATTCCCTCTTCTGCGTTGAGGAGAAAAATCAATAAAATTTTATTGTTTTTTAACCGGTGATGTTTATAACCTGAATGTGCTAATAGTCGAAGTTTCTACTTTATTATCCGCTTAAAATATTTCATGTTGTCCACGTTTCTAAGGACCGCGCTGTATTGGAATTTGCACCCCCGCGGGGCAGGGGCTGCGGGGGTGCAAATTATGCCACTGGTTTTTACTTTATAAAGGTTACCACAAAATAAAAATCTCAAAATTAAATTTTATAATTTCTTAAAGAAGCGGGATTTGTTGGACTATACTTTCAGAATGAAGGAAGTTTTGTCGAAATAACTTTCGACCATTTTTTTGTTTCTTGTTTGACTATTCTAGCCAATATTTATATGTAGATCTCCGGCAATAGACCTTTTTGATTCTTATAAAATAACATATAAGAACGTGTGGTTTATGAATCCGTCTTGATTTTTGATCTGATCCATAGCGTGGTAAATTGATAGTCAAAATTTATCAGTTTACTGGTGTAAAAACACGATAAATCTGTGGATTGGCCACCTACATATTAATTTTCCCCTAATTTGTCATTTCTCTGATCATACATATTAGCTAAGCAGTTTACAGTACTACTATGACACGTTCTTTTTACAATATTTTTAAGAAAAAGAAAACATATTTTGAGATTCAACTGATCTGTTTAATATTTACAAAGTAATTTTTGCTCCTTGCTATTAGTAATTATTTAATTTTAGATTTGTTTCCTTCTCCAAACGTTCACACACCAGAAAAACTAAATTTGTTGGCATTCTAATATTTAACAATTTCCATAAATTTATAGTAATGATTTGTAGATCTAATTTAAGTCTCCAGCGTATGCTTAGTTATAAAAAGTCGTTTATATTTTTGTATTGCGGATTTAAAACTGCACGTGTTTAAAATATTACGTAAATAAGATCATCGGAAACATAATAATCAGTATATTTATACAAACGTATACAATGCTTGCGCATAAGTTTGTTGCTTGGTCGTACATAACTCTAACAGATGTTTTTCAATTACTGTAATAAGATGACATGTTCCGACAAATTAAAAAAAATCCGTCTAAAGTTATGGGGACAGAATTTTCTTCGCTCCCGAACAGCTTCTTCGAAAAATTATAAAATTTAAGTTAATGAATTTTATTTATTTTGTACAATAACCTTTGTACGTAAAAAAATGGTCTAAAGTTAATTAAACAGAACTTGCCTCGCCCCTGAAGTATAGACGAACAACTAGATTCTAAATAAAAAGTTGGTCCAAGATTATTTCAACGGAATTTCCCTCGCCC